AGTCAATTTGAGACATTAATCCACTCGATTGTGACAAAAAGGCTTAATTCAATTACAATTTAGTTTTTTTTGCAAGCAATTTAGAGAAGATGAAGAAGAAGTGAAAATCAACTCATTGAACTATTCATTTAATTTACTTTCATTCATGATCTTTAAACTTCAAGTATGCTTGAACGAAGAATTTTTTTTATTGTCGCTTGCTTGAGAGCACAAAAGCAGCATTTGTCAATCTTTATTAAGCATATTACTTTTCATAATTCAAAAGAGGATGAGAGGAATTACTTGATGTTTAATAGAGGTTCCAAATAGATTTGGTTTGGGTTAAAAAGAAGCATTGGCGTTGAAGAATGATTTTATTGTGTGGGAATTTGGAACTGCTGCCGAAAACTTACAATTATCGAGATAAGATCGTGAATAGTTAAACCACAATGAATGTAAATTAAGGTAGACCCAAATAAACTGTCATAAAAATTTATTTCATTTACAAAATAAAGATAGTGACTAAAAATCCATTTACTTTACACCAATGCATACACAACAATTCTCACAATTTCAAACTGCTAATGACACCGGCTGTCTTAAGATATTACGATAAATTAAAGTGCGATCGATCCACAACTTTTGCTTGTTCCTTCAATTACTGTCGAAGTTGTTACACTCACTCAACGCTTTTTAGAACCTCTAACGAGCAACGAAAAAATATGTAGAATGGAATGATGAAAATTAACACAATAAAGATAAAGCAATGTCTTGAATTGAGCGGCGTGTTTAAGAATTTTTCGCAATAAATAATAATTTTAGGCTTAGATACTTTTCATTAGAGAAATATGACAAGTGTTTGGTGCTTTAACGTCCATTGACATTAATTGGATGTTTTTACAAAACAACACATTATCTTCATCCTCTATTCAGTGTAAAAAGTGCTCATGCCTTGAAGAAAATGACTCGGAACAGACAAAAGCAGACAGTATAAATGATTCACACACAATATTCACACAACCTTTCGCTTACAAAAACTGTGTGGTCGGTTTGTTTACATATCAATAAAATAAATAAATAAAATTTTGCCCATTTCCTTCACGTTTAAACTGTTTCTTTCACTACGACTCGATCTATTAGAACCGCATAATCACATTTAACACGGAGTTCAGTGCCTGTGCTTGCTGTATATAAAAATATTTGTGAAATAATAAATAAGGGGAATAAAATCTCCAAATTAAAATCTTCATAATATTTTGTCCTTGGAATTCATTGAGCCATTATTCTGTGCTCTTATAGCGAATTATATCAGTGAACTTCCTTTTTTCATTAACAGGCAGTACTACAGCGCCTAGACGGTACTATTAATCTAAAACATCTTTGTTTACATTCTATCATACATGTGTTAGTGATACCAAAATACTTGTTTTAATCGTGAATTTAGACTTTTAAAGTGAAAGTATTCCTTTACTGCCTTGATTCATTGGTTTTTAATAATTATCATCTCATTCACAATTATACATCTAAACAAAACATTCCATTATCGTATTTAAACAAATCTATTAATTGTGAATATCAGTGTATTAGTGTTAGCGCATTCAACCAAACGAATTTCGAACATCTCATTGTGAATTTGGATTTTTCATACTTCAGATAAGTTCTTCTTTTTCTTACTGTGTTTTGTCAAATTAATATGGCTCGAATTTGTCGCAATTGTAACGTGGAATCTGAACCCAGTGAATTTATTCAATGTTGTATATGCAAACTCCTCTCTCACACATGCTCTCCAATGCTTAAAAAGGCAAACATAGACAATACATTCTTCGCCACTGCTCAAGCAGCAGGATTTAAATATGTCTGCAAAAAATGCACTCCTTCCCTCGATTCCTTTACTGTAGCGGCATGTAACATTCAAGTCCAAATGGACACAATGAACCAATCAATTTTAAATATCATAAAAGAGGTCAAGTCTTTGAAGGAAACGCAGGCTAAAATAAACTTACCCACATCATCTGTCGATCATTGCTCTCAACTTCCCACATATTCAGATCTTCTTAAAGAAACAACCCTAATTCTCACTCCAAAGGATCAAGCAATTGACAAAGAATGCTTGAAACAAAAAGTTAGGCAATCTATAATCCCAGAGGACAATATTATCACAGGCCTACATACCACATCATCTAATAAAATCATTCTCAAATCAGGAAACACCGACAGCACAGCATTTGAGTCGTCGATAAAAAATAAACTTGAAGCTGACTTCGATATTAAAGTCCAAAGAAATGATCTGCGCCGTTTAAAACTAATTCGTTTCAAAATTCGAGACCACACACATCAGGAAATTACAAACGCAATAATAAGTCAAAATATTTTTATCACAAATCCATCATGTGTAAAAATAATTAAAGAAACAAAGTACAGAGACAATGATGAACAAAGCATTTTAATAATCGAACTTAACGCCAGTTCCCACAAACTCGCTCTTGAACAGGGCTACATCAGCATAAAGTGGAACAAATATAAAGTTTTTGATGCCCTGGCGGTAAATAGATGTTATAAGTGCTGTAAACTAGGTCATGTCAGCGATAACTGTAAGGCTCAAGACTACACGTGTCCAAAATGTTCCGAATCTCACAAATCTGAAGATTGCAAGTCAAAGTCCTTCAAATGTATTAATTGTGTTGACGCCGTTTCAAAATTTAATCTGGAGATTTCGTCCGACCATCCTTCTTACAGCAACAAATGTCCCACAATGCTCCATCGCTTGTCATCATTAAAAAAGTCCTTTGGACGTTCACAATAGCAATCAAAGTTTCATCTTGTATGGTATACAAACTGTCAAAGTTTAATAGCTAATCTCCCATCAATCAAAATTTTCGTCTCTGAGCACAAACCCAAAATAATGCTACTTTCAGAAACAAGAACCATCTCAAATATGAATAACAATGTGCTCTCTATTCCAGATTACAACTTGTATAGAATTGACTCATACAACAGACACACAGGAGGTGTAGCATGTTATATTCACTCATCCATAAAAATTTCTATTTTCGATTCTTTCAGTGATGACAATATTTGGTCACTGTCATTCAAGATTTTGCATGGATACTCCAAAGAAAGTTTCTGTATCGTTTATAGAGGGCACCAATCGACAACAAATAATTTTATCTCTTTCCTTGAAAGAACATGCGATATTCTATGCAATAACTCTTCAACTTTCCATCTCGTAGGCGATTTCAACTATGACTTCAATGACAAAACCAAATCCTCAAATGTTCTCAAAAAGCTTAAATCCTTTAATCTTACACAAGTACGGTCGCCGACCCGTGAATCGAACGGCTCTAGTACCATCATCGATTGGGTAGTATCAAATACTAAATACCTTGAAACCTTCGTCAAAAACGACAATATTATTGCAGATCATAATTTTATAGCTATTGACTTTTTCGCAAAGCGCAACCAGGATAACCGTACACACACAACAATCACCGATTGGCATAAATATTCAAGCTCAGAATTATCAACACATATATCAACATTTGACTGGAATGATTTCGATTTGCTACCAAATGCCAATTCTCAATTCAATTTCATCAATAATGCCCTTTCGTCTTATCTCAATTCATGTCTGACTCTAAAGATAATTAGCAATAATCCTTCCGTACGTTGGTACAATTCCACTCTCGAAGAATATAAAAACAACAAAACTGTGTGCAAAGTAAAGTGGAACAACTCGAAAACAGAAAATAACTGGAAGTCATACGTAGCATCCCGTAATTTATACAAAAACAAATTACGTGAGTCCGAATCCTCTTTCCTTCAGAATGAATTAACACGGAATTCTGACAACCCCAAAAAATTATGGAAAACACTGAAATCAATCTATGACGATAACGACAAAAGCAATTTAACAGCGATCAAATTCGATGACAAATTGGAAATTGATCCTAAATTGATTAGTGATAAATTGAATGTTCATTTTGTATCTTCCATTATTGATCTTACTCACGCAATTCCCATCTCAAATAAACCACACATGTTACAAATTATGCGACCCCCTAACAACTTCAAATTCACATTGCTTTCTCACCACACAGTTCAATTATATGCTGCAGATTCAAAGAAGAAGTTTTATAACGACAACATCTCAGGCAAAGTTATCAACGATGCCTTAAGCAACCCCAATTTTTTGATATCTTTTACAAATTTCCTAAATGCATCCTTATCGCAAGGTACTTTTCCCGATTATTGCAAAATATCCACAGTTACGCCTATTCAAAAAGTAAAAGGCTCGCTCAATTCTTCCGATTTAAGGCCCATTAATACACTTTGTGTCATCAGTCAAATTGTAGAGCGTATCGTCAAGGACCAACTGCTAGAGCACTTTGAATCAAACAACCTTTTCTGTAAAGAACAATCTGGGTTCAGAAAATTCCACAGTTGTGAAACATCTCTTACTTATGTCTTAACAGACTGGAAAGAATCCATTGACAAGAACCACGTAATTGTAGCAGTATTTCTTGACTTTAAAAGAGCATTTGAAACAGTCGATCGTACACTACTTCTGCAAAAATTGTCACTTTACGAATATGCATACATATTCCAAGTGTGTCACTAATATTTCGTGACAATTGTTATTAAATAGACGTTTTAGGCCACACAATACGTGACCATTAATGGTGGGTTTAAAGTGAAACTTGCGAAAATATGCGAATTTGTATTCAATTTGGTTAAATTGATGGATAGACAATTGTTTTTAATTATTCATTAGAATTGAGTTATGTTGAAGTGTCATTAGTGGTGGAATTTCTTAGTGCCATTTAATAGAAGAGATTGAAGTTTGAATATTGATGGCAAATTGGTTAATTATTGAGAAATTAAGGAAGAACTTTTTGAGGTGGAGTAAATTATTTGTTCCGCCATTTTGAATTTTTATTCGCTACTTTCTTCTTTTATAATTTTTGTGTCCTTTTTGATTCATAAAACAGTATTCAAGATCAAAAGAAACAAGTTTCATACTAAAGAGAGTACATTTGCCAAGCTGTTAATCATTGCCATTTAAACTAATTATTCGCATATAAAAAACTTAATTTATGAGCGGAAGTTGAACAATTCTTTACAATTAACAAATTAACAATTGCCACACAAAACATGGACATTGATGATGATGATGAGCAGTAGTTGTTTTTGCTTAATGAATACAATCATTTAAATTAATTTATTCTTACTCTCCATTTTCAGCTGAAAGCGACTTAGTGACATTTGTACAGATAAAAAATCACTTCAAGACTGAATATGCAATTCAAACAAACCTTTTTACGGTCGGTACGAGAACGGAGAGTCTATCAAAAATGTATGAGAATGCCGCAAGAACACCGATTCATACGATGGCTGAAATGGATGAGTTACTTGGCATTCGAGGTCGCAGAAGTTCTGATGCTTTCATTTGTACACCCATTCTTGAAAGAACAAGACGCAGATTAAAAGGCATTGACATTGAAATTGAAACGAGAATGGTAAGTGAAAACTTTTTTTGTTTTGATTTAAATTGAAGCAGTAGTGCTCAATCTTTTATATTTTGGGTGGTCTAATGGGATGATTAATTCCCCAAATGACACAAAGAAAGGTTTTAAAAAGTCATAAAAAATTCACAAAAAATTTCCCAGAAAATCCGCAAAAAAAATTTTGACCACAATCACATAAAATTTTCATTCCAACTGGCGAACTGTGGCACATAATTTAAACACCCATGCGATGAGCTTTCTTTTGTTTTTGAAATGTTTATGTTTTTCATACAAATTAATGTAAATATTTAATTTAACGATACATGTTGCGGACATGGAAGTTCATCTTGTGCCGATGCCGCCCTTTGTTTTATTTTCATCTCAATTCACTTCATGTCTGTTTATAAAAATTGAGTTAATTAAAGATTCATATGCTCTTGACGATAACCCAGATTTATTTTTTCTATTTGCCTAGCCGCAAACATATATTTCTAGTTCCTATTCTTATAATTAATTTTTTTCGTAGTTTTTCATTCGTAAAAACCAGATGAGCTTCATAAATGAGATATTTTTGTATGGTTTCACTCAAGTAAGCCGTCTATTAGCAGAAAAATGCTAAATTGTAATTGATTTATGCTTCTTACGACTCACGAAGCATACATTAAGTATTGCGTAACCTTCGTGCTGAAAAATGAATGTTTCTTGAAAGCTATGCGTACTTTTTTGACATTTTTAAGAGCAATTATGAGGCATATTGTATGATGTACTTATTTCGATGACCCGAAAAGATATGCTGGATACTTACTGAACCATACATACTTTAACATAATTATTTAACATCTTTTCCACGATAAAAATCTAATAAAAATGCACGCGTATTTTTGTAAAATTCAAAACTTTCGAAATTCCATAAAAATAGACATAAAAGCTAAAATGATTAGCTTATTCAAGGATAAATCATAGAAGCTATAGAAAATTATAACGTTCAGTCTTGCCAAATTTGATTGGAAATAGCTTTTAAGAATGAAAGTTATTAATTTCTAAAGATTACCTCATTTCTATGGAATTAGAAAATGCTCAGTAAGGTTTCATAATATCTTATAAATATGCATAGAAATTAGGAGCATTTGTTTGATGTCTGACATGCCTTTATGCTTCCGAAAATTTACAAATCCATAGAAAATATATTTTTGGAATGTTGAATGACGAGAAGTGATTTGATCAGTATCTAATCGTATCATGCCTTATGAGGTAGTGATTATGTAAAATTTTAGGTAATTATGAGGCAATGAAGGGTCTTGTAATTTTTCTCAATTGAATGTTGATTTTTTTATGGACAGAGTTGTCATCCAGTTGCTTAAAATATTGTAAATTTGCAGATACAGAAAATACCTAACCTCTTAAAAATGTCAAATCTCATTTTTTTGACAAAATGGCGTTGCATAAGTATCCTGAGCTAAGGTGCTATTGACTCCAAGTCACAATTTTTCCAAAATCTCAACCCAGCTCTCTCAAACATTAATTGACTGTATTTACGAGCAAACGCATGTCGAAATCCGCCTTAACAACTAAAAGATTAAGCTTACATTATCTTTACTTTACCGGTTGCTTTCAAAAAACCGGCCATTCAAGACATTAGTCGCGGATAGCCTTCATGAAAAGATGCAACTCTAAACCAATAAATTACAATTAATAGAGACATAAATTCAATAAACATGTACAAATAGCAAATGCATAATCATTTTTCATTGTGACACTTGAAAAATAGTTAAATTCGCATGTGGTTCGCATGTAAATGCATGCTTATTCTAATACTGTTTCGCATGTCATTTCCACTTCATCTGCTTTGAAAGCTTCAGAATAATTAACACGTTAGTATTGGAAATAATACTTTAATTACTTGTAGCAACACGAAAATAGTGTCGACAGAACTTTTTACATGATTTGCTCTATTTGATTTATCTTAATTGGCTTTAAAAATGTAGAATTTGTTAATTTTTAAAATCTGAAATATTGCTTAATACTCATGCCTTAATTAAGTCTACTTAACTTTGTCAATTTATGAGTTTTCCCGTTCCCGCCCAAATCAAATTTAATTCTAGACATTTTTGACATTCTTCTCAAACATGTGGAGGAGATATCGCATATTTTTTTGCGTATCCAACAAAAGACTTCAATTTGACATTAATCCATTCTTATGTCTTATATTACTCTTCGCTTTCCTTTATGAATCTAATATAAAAGTTCCATTATGAAGACAATAAATAGGTCGGCAAACATTTATTTTGATTGTTTACCCGAGTGTTGCGTGAGTTAAGAGGCACGCTTGATGTACCGGTGAATCTTGTGATTGATAGTAATTTTGGGTAATTATTTTTTGGAATGATCTGCGGGACATAAAGTTTTTGGATATTGAAATTAATGTTGAAGGTTTATTCTGAATATTTAAATTTTATGAAGGGAGTCATTACCATTTGGGGTCTTTCATAAATGATGTTAAATATTAAGGTTGTGTATGGAGCTGATTCCGCATCTAAATGTAACTTTGTGTTAAGTTTTTGCAGAGAGTCTATAGAGTAAATGATCCTAAAGTCTACCAACACAAAGACCAAAACTCACTGTTATCAAATGTCAAGTTCTTAAACCAAATCAAACCAGTCCATGTCCAAAACATCAACAATATCAATCTCCAGCAACTCTCAGACGTGTCATATTTATACCTTACAAGCTCGGCTCCACAATTCTCCTTAAAAAAACTCAAACAGCCGCAACATACTCCACATTTCCTAAGAATAAGTAAAGCAAACCTTTAAAGGAAATGTAATTCAATTCGGAAACACTTAAAATATAGTTTGAAATTCAATCATCTTTATTCCAATATTTTCTTGATAACTGCCTCGTCGTGAGCTTGCATGCCTCAGTAAATCAAAAATCGTATCATGTAACAACATACATTGAACATTGAATATAAAAAAAATCAATTAACCCACATAAAAAGACGTCTATCAATTATTATTTTCATTTGCTACAAAAAGTTGATGCCTTTGAACTCTCATGATGACTTATTGATGTGAAAAATTATTAATTTAATTTTGACTGACCATTTATTCAATTAGACACTTCGTCTCCAAAAACATTTTACAGTAGTTTGGATATGAAAAACTTTCTCTACACGTTTGTTGGTGTAATAATGTCTCTACAGAGTCTAACAATCAACAGCAGTAACAGCATGTAACAAATGTTTGTAGTTAACAGCATAACAGTTTACTCCCACATTAATTATCTTTTCCTCTGTGATTATTTATATATTTTTTATTTCTAAGAGATTTATGATACAGAGACGCGAAAAGAGCAGTCGGTTTTTATTAGCTTTTTTGACTTTAACACTTTCATGATGTTTGTTTATGCGGTCATTGATATTGTCCAATGTTTTCAATGTTGATGACTTTTTGATGCACGATTTTCTATAAAATATGTAAATTTTTTTGTGAACGGTTTGACTTTGATAAGATTATTGGGGTATTTGGGTTTATGTTGGACTTAAGTGATTAAGGCATCTACATAATTTTTTTACAGGTATATAATTTGTATCTAGAATAAGCCATTAATTTTTGAGATAATCAGGTTGGGGATTATTTTGAAATATGTCTGAATTGAAGTTTTTGAGGAGATTATTAATGCTGGATGTCTATGAACTAGCTAGAGGATATGCAAGACTTTTTCTAGCCTGAGGTTCGTCAAAAAAACAGCAAAGACAGATGAGGATGGAAGGGGTTCAGAACCCTAGTCTGGCTCTCCAATTTTCCTAGTTGGGCTTCTTATGGATTAGGTTTAATACCCAAAAAACCAACCCATGCTGCATTTTTATCTTCATTTTATTACACAGACATCAAATGGGGTTAATCACTTATGACGTCTACGTATAAATGGATTGATCAAGCCCCTTCTTGTTTTAAACATTTCAAAAACTCAGATTAGCTCTAAGGGGCCGTTCACTTATGACGTCCGACATTTAGGGGGGAGGGGGGTCTAGGATTTTGTGACAGTTCAAACAATGGAAATTTTTTTTCTATAGAATTTTTGTGACAGAGGGGGGGGGGGTCTAAAAATCAGGTTTTTTGAATATTGTGTTTTTATTTATTATTGAACGAATCTTAAGTTAACGACCTTTACTAACCGAACTGTCAAATTCAAATTCCAAAAGCTCGTTAAAAATTTATCATCCACAACCTCGATGAGAAACCTCACATAAAATTCTAAGAAATTTCATCTCAGTAAAATGCATTCCATTTCTATACATAAATATTCCCATTTCAATCTCCCTAGCATGAAATGCGTTACATTCCGTTCACCAAAAAAAACCATAAGCCACAGAAAACTAAAGTTTTATTCGTTTCATTTTCCTATGCGGCAATTCAAATTAAAATAAAACATTTTTCATAGCAATTGAGAATGAAATAAAAAAAGATTTTTTTTTATTTACTATTTAATGTGTCGTTTGGGATTATCGCAGTGTAGCATTGTGTTTAAAACTTTTATTGACCTTTTTTTTTGTCGTCACGCCTTAACAGAGAAAATACAGTGAGAGTGAGACGATGATGAATGCCTTTTGATTATTTATTTAAGCTAATATTGAATATATCTTAATGGTTTCTATCTATTTTGCATTGATTTCCCATTAGCCTGCTGGACTAGATGAACTGCGAAAATGGACATCAAGAGAAGCTATAGGGGATGAAACAGTTGCACCTAATTGCCTTGTTCGTGTTGGTCATAATACATCCGTTGCAGATCAGACAATTTTATCGATGCAGCAAACATCCACATCACATGACTGTACGGATAGTATAATAATGATAAGTACACATAATAATAGCAGCAGGAGATCAGAGGATGATAAAGACGCCCCGATTGATCACCGATTACCGTCGCCTCAGGAGCAGTGCTTGATATTAGCATCAAAGTATGAGCATCATGACATTAATATATTTATTAGCATTTTCATAACTATGTTTTCATAAATTTTTGTCCACAGATATCCCGCACAGCTTATACGAGTCGACACCAGTGGAAAGCGTTTTGATCGTCAATCGGCAGCACGAAAGTCACTACTGCATGTACAAACTGGATTGCATGCAATCGAAGATGCAAATGACAGCAGCAATACGGACTCGGTAAAGAGACGTTCACGCTCGAGGAAGCCGAGAGGCAATAGACGCAATACTATCGCTGGAATTGATCAGACGGAAATTGAAGAAATCGCTGTGAATGGGTTCGTTATATTTTTACTTTTATTATTGGCATTTTCATGCGGTGTAACATGCTTGCCATTATTGGGGACGGTTGCTTGAGTGTAGTCTAGTCTGGGTACACTTGAGCAACTAACTGGGGAGCACTAGTCAGGATGTGGTACATCTATATAAGGACTTTAGCACAGAATGTCTTGAATCTTGTTTCGGACCAATTCCTTATTTTTAAAAAATTCACAGGTCACTGACCCTACTCCACAGCCCTGACTACTCTCATTCTTGCATTCCTTTGCATTATATTGATTTAATTTGAGCATGGCGTGTCGAGTTGTTGTGTCTTTAAAATGTAAAAAAGTAATAGACATTAAAAAGTATCGGAATGGAACATAAAAGTCATTAGAAGCAAGTAGAAAAGGAACAAAGATTATTGAAATACACACAATAGATTAATTAGTAAGAAATTTGATAGCTTTTCCATGGAAATTTAATCAGAATTAATTTCTTACAGCCTATATTAAGTCACTAAAATTCAGCTTTCGTGCATAAAATTCTTTATTGTGGTACAATTAATGAAAACTAATTTGATGAATTTTTTGTGCTAATTTGATAACGAGAATTGGCATCCGTTACACATAAAATTGAATCATTTAAAATTTAAATTACCGTTAATTTGTATTACGAGACATTAAATCAAAATAAATTGCTATTTAATTCAATGAATTCGCAATTAAAAGCATTGTATCAATTACTTATGAAGAATTTAATGCACCATTCTCGTATATCATGCGAGAGAGCAGACATTAATGAAAAAGGCTAGCTGGAAAAATCATTGGAGCAAAGAACAAACAGGCGCATTTTTGATGGAACTTAATATATTTAACCGGCTTTTTCAAATTTGAATTTTTAACTCCTTTTTTATATTTGAAATTTTAACGTCTTTTTCAGATTTGAATTTTTGACGACTTTTTTAAATTTCAACTTAAGAAATCGAAAGTGTAATTCCTTTTAAATTCCAAGAATGCAATCGAAGCAATTCACAGCACTTGATCAATTTTCATGCCCCATGATTTCTAAAACATGCAAAAGTCATGCTTACCTAGCCGACCATTATCAAAACAATCCAAACTGATCACGTTTACCCAGCAAAAATGCGCCTGAAACTTAAATTAAGCGAATACAATTTGTGTATGTATTTCTGCATTGCATGTAAAGCTTGCACTGATGTGTTTTTAATTGCCGGCTTTTGTCCGACTGAATGAAAGTAGCGGAAATTTATTTATATACCATTTTTTTTCATTTCATTATTCATTCGCTTCATTTCTCATCGCTTTACGTTGATATGTTGTATTGATATCCTAATAACAACTGTTAACATGCATCTTGCAAATGAAATTTGAATTTCATTTAAACAACAAACTCCAGTATTAATTAACAGAAATGTCACAAATGTGTATTAAAATTTATGTTTGTTTCTTTTTCTTCTATCCATGTCTCAAATAAAATTTTTATTACATAGATATCGCTCTATGCTTATATGTCTCGTGAAAGGGGGATTTGAGTCTTTTTCATTAAGTATAGATTTTTAATAGTCATTATTTTGTTAACACTGTTCTTTTTTCCCATTTTCTATTTCCATCGACACATAAATATGCATACATTAAATTTATTTTATTCTCCGTTCATTTGTTGAATTTCATTTTATTTTTATATAGAAAATTACTGCATTCTTATTCACATCCACAAACCACAGAGAGATGTATGCGTTCCTTTGAAATGATTGTCTATTGATGACGACTGTTGGGGTTTTTAAGGCCCCCTCTCTTCCCATGACCTTGTTTTCATGATTTTAATTCAGGAAATCTTAATTTCAAGAGTATATCCCGAATAAAACTCAGAATCCACTAGTACTCTAGGGTAAACCTAGTCAAATAAATGAATATAGCTTAGAGTTTAGTTAAGGGCTTGTACTTAAGTATAGCTTAGTTAAAGGAAATTGGGAAACCAGCCTTAGATGTCTCCCTTACAAGTCTACACACTAGATACTCCCCCCGCCCTACCCCTAAATATTAAGACACAACAACTACACGTTCCCCCCATACATGCTTACATATATTTTTTAAAAAAATTTTAATACTGGAGTTAATGCCATGCAACTAACCAGAAATAAATTGTCTTTCAGCGATGCAAGCGAACATGAAATGTCAACATTCCGTGACAATGAAACAACGATTGTTCCACGCAGCAAGTCGAGTGATGTTCTGAAAAGAGATTTATTATCGACAGAAGTTAAACGATCATCATCCCATTTTAATTCTTTGAAGCAATGGGGAAAGAATCGCTTGCGAATGATAAATAGATTGAGTGGAACGAGCGATGACACAAGTCGTAATAGTTTTAGAGCGAAACAGAATTCCAATGACATTGATGATTTCAATGTCTTGGAAGCAATAAATAAGAGACAGAAGAAGATTAATGAAAAGGATAGACGACTTTCGCACGAACGAAAGCCATCATATTCATCGTCCGAAAGGAGTTTAAATGTAACTGCTGGAGCAACGACAACAGTACAAGTTACAAATCCGTCCACAAATGTTGCGGTTAAGATGAGGGAGCAGACTGCAGTCATTCGACGACAACGACGCAATGGTGAAGTATCGAATAAGGATGAACCACATTCATCAAGTGGCAATTGGAGTGCAAGTTCTGAATCAGGCAGAACATCGATTGGAAGTGAAATTACAACGACGACAACACATCCAAAATCTAGTGCTTCAAGTACATCACTAAGTCACCACACACATCACTCTTCGTCAGGTCCACCAAGTTCAATTATTAGTCGACGTCGTTTCCTCAACACATCTGCTTCAAGCAGCATAACAAGCGAGGGAACTGCAACACCAGAATTACAAATGTTTGATGCATTTCATGGCGATGAAGGTGAAACAAGTTCAGTTTATTCTTGCGATACTGAAGGATATTATACATCTTTTCATGTTGATTCTGGTCTAAAGACACTCAAAGAGGAAGAATCACTGACTCCAATGCAATCTTCAATGGCTTTGTCAAGTACAAACTCATTTGAAAGTTCAGGCAACCAAACAGTCATATCACCAGAAAATGAATATGAATTGTTTGGTAAGGGATCGACAACGACGAGCAGCTCAGCTGGTACGGTATGTACAGCAGTTCTATCAATGTATGATAATGATAGAAATGGCCCATTAGTTCCGGAACGAATAAGTTCACTATGCAAATTAAATCGTAGTGGAAGTTCAACAAGTTCTGGAACTCTCGAACGAAGCTACTCAACAAGTACAGTTGGAAGTACTTTAGAAAAGAGTGGAACGATAAAAAGGAATGGAGTTCTTTTACAAAAAGAAGTAGCTGCTCTCGTTCATCAACATCAACAAGAAACGACAATAGCACGCATTGAATCTCCAGACAGTGGAAATAATACAAGTTCCTCGCCTGTCGAATCAAATTCATCGCCAACAAATCAAAATGCTCGCCTTTATTCCGAATTTGAATGCTCTGAGTCATCAGATTTGGAATGTGTTGAGAGAACTGAAAGAATTCGAGTCAAGACGACAATCAATACGAGTCGAATTCCATCAATTGTTGCAATCACTCCATCGCCAAGTGACGATGAGTGTGTCATTAAAAAGACTACAAAAAAGAATCAACAAGAGATAAAAATCAAAGGCAATCTACTGAATGTCAATAAAGATACTGGCTATGCATTTATTGTCGGAAATGACAGCAATCAAAATGAAATTAAAATTAGTCGCAAAACATCTCCACTATTGCCACTAAATCACATGCTTGATAAAATTCGTGGTGTTCTTCATCCACTGAAAAAATCACCAAATAAAGAATTGACATCCACGAAAAGTGATTCCAATAACGACGAATATGTCACAATCTCTGAAATCCAAACACCCAAACGAATGCCAAATGGAATTTATTATTCGAGCGACGTTCTTAAGAGAAATCTAGCGACAGTTCTTTCCGGCAACATAAACGAAGAGACTGAATATGTTTCGTTAAACGAACTTCCATGCAATGTGCGATCTGAGAGTAATCTATTGGCCATTAGCGAAAACAACAGTGACGAAAAAATCGATATGAAAAGTGGTGGGGATGATAATATGACTCGGAATAGGGGTGAAGTTGTGAGAATGGATGCGCACGGCAATCCAATTTTTGATAGTAACAGCTTGAAACGTAAGAAAGGCGCAATTACAACTTTTTCCCCTGGACCATGTGTGAAAGATACAAACGATGCCATTACAATAACAACAACGTCGAATGCAAACAGTTCATCTTCATTGAATCTTGAAAATCATAACAGAAAACTGCCTACAAGCACAGCAGAAACACAAGTGACGACTTCTAGTGCATCAGTATATCGTAGATCAGTCAATACGGTAAGACCAGTTGTGCCACAGCGTCCAAAAATTGAAAATAGTGATATTGTGACTGAGAATAATAATAACAATAATAATACACAAAAATTGGTGACGAAATCTGTGTCAGTTAATAGAACGGAAGAGAAAGAAAAGACTGAGCCAGTTCAAATGACCACATCGAACAGTTCAAACAACCTGATGCGTCCGAATAGCGCACTTCAATTAAATTTAAATTCCGTATCATCGAAAATTCTTGCATCAGGCACAATTCGTGGTGCTTACGTCAATATACAAGATGCTGCTCCATTGCGTAATGGTCCACCAGTTTATTCGCCACCATCACCGTCACGTGCTGCATCAATATTCGCTCCTCAACAACAACCACCCACAATTGAAGAAGGTAAGGATAATAACAAAAAATTTGCACCTAAAATTGTCGATTTTACACCGAAAATGAGCGCGAAAAGTATTAAAGTAAAGGATGTAAATGTCGTAGAGGAGGAAGAAATAATGTCGAGCGAAAACATTGACCCAAATATGATGAGAGCTCATGTTAAACGTAGCAATAGTTATCGTATGGCAGCAATCTATGCTGATCCAAATGACTTGAGTAAATCGAGAGAATCGTTAGACATAAATTTGAATAGTAATGTTAGGAAAAGTTATATTGATAGTGACGATGAGCCATACTTAAATATCAGTAAGACAGTCACGCGTTCATTCGAAAAATTGATTGAAGAATTTTCCAAATCCACAAACGCAATAATTTCCACCGATTTGATGCTTAATGAGTCACTTAAATCAAATGACGTAAAATCCCTAAATCGTTATTCACTTGAACCACCAAAGCCTATAGACTTGAACGAATATATGACTGACTCATCATTTGATGATGTCATTGATAATTTACCACCCCCAACTATTCCATTACACATTCCATCACCGAGTAAGGTCACATTACCATCGGATAGTCAATGTCATAAGGCAAGAGTCTTGACAAATTTTGATACTGAAATTTGGTAAGGAAGTGTTTAAAATAGCTGTGTAGAAGGAAGGAGACAGAACAAAATGTATAATCATAACACATGTCAAGTACATGTCTTTCATCGTACTTGTCGTCATTTCTAAGTGCTGAATATGAGAAACTTTTTACTGTTTGTTGAGCACGAGCGTTATGACATTAAAGAATATTTTGTTGAAGTCTCAGTTTCTACTGCCTACCTCTCGCCCTATCTTATTACATATTCTTTTTACGTATTAGACTTACATCTCTTGTGACTCTAACGTGCATATTTACATTTGTTTTGAGAAGGGAGTGAGAGTGAGATAGGGATATAGTAATAAAGACTTTGCCACCCTCACTAATATTTTCTTACTTCTTCTTAGGGTTCAATGCCTTTACGTTCTTCGCTTATTTTTCCATACTTTGTTCAAAATCGTAAAAAGGATGAAAATAGAATTTTTTTTATGTTACCGGTGGATTTTTCCTCACAAATGGATGTCAGCATTTTGTCTCTGACTAATAAAATTTTACTGTCGCATGCAGCATAAGCACATCTCAGTTTATGATTGATTTATGCAGTCTCATGGAAAATTTCTTATTGATATGGTGAAATTATGAGTGAATGCAGCAAAAAATGATGAAATTTGTCAGTTCTGATCGATATATTAATTCATTTTGAGTGTGTCAAGTGCCTGAATTGTTGGTGATGTGTCTTAATGTTATTGAGAGTTTGAAGGGTTAATGGCAAATGAAGTCTTTAAGAAGATATGATTTATAGACTTTAACAAACATCGTAAGGATCTCTTAGAAATTCATTGATGGTTTAACCTATGCAATACAGCATTGGATACGCTCATGACACTCTATATCACCAAATAAATTCCACTTTGACTCAATCTTAATACACATCCTGAATGCGCTTTATCCTCTACAACCTATAACTACATTCCAACCTTCCATTTTTCGGAAACCCAAAAAAACCATTCAGAACTGAAATGAAAAACTTTTCATCCTCATTTTCGGAGGGAAGAAATCGACAATTTTCCTGTTCATGGATTCATATTATGTGCACACAAAAAAATGGAGACTTAAAGTTTATTTAATAGTTCCAACAATAGCGTGATATACCCACTTTTTGGACAATTAGGAATAATTTTATAGCACATATTATTCGTGTATTGTTGGAACTACAAAACAATGTTTGTGAATGTCCATTAGTTTATTATTTATTTATGATTTTTTTTTGTGGCTTTATGTTTAATTTACTAACAATAATATTAAATACCATCGAGTGAGACGATTGTTATTGATAGACAAAATTTTATGAATTGTAATATAGACTAAGTCATGAATTCCCTCCCATTTTGTCTCACTTGAAGGTCAGTGCTGTGTTTTATGTGGATTTTAATTATTTAATACTTAAGAGATCTCAATTTTTGAATGTCGTCTTCAATGGTAAACCCGAGTGGTGTATGATTAAGATGGAGTTGTGATTTGGTTGCCATGTAGACACTTAAAAGGAATTTTGACATAAAACTAGATTTTATCTGAGTATTATAAATGTCAACAATCTCAGAAACTTTCCAATAATGTACTGCTCGGCTTATTTTTCAACCTATAAATTAAATTTTCATCTTCATTGACATTGTGCTGTCCAGGCTTTTAGAACAAACAATTTTTTTTTTTTGGCATAGATGATAAATAATTTGACCTAATTGATGATGAGTTCATTTCAATGAACATTAAATTAATTTAATTTGAGCTTCAAGAGCAATTAATTTTAGCATCTTTGTGGTCATCTTGTGGATCATAAATTTTGGTGTTTTGAGGAGCATCTTGGGTTTATTTTTTTAAATTGAGGTTAATTCTATAAAATAAAGTTTTTTGAATCAAAACTAGGTCATCCTCAATTGACTCAAAACCACATCAATAAATCATAAAAAGTTTCCAACAAAATTGAAGCTCAAATCCTTTAATAATTCAATAAACCCCAAATAACTGTCAGAGTAGCAACCTCTGTGGCGTGTTACTTAATTTCCGTAGACAAATTAATCCAAAAATTGTCCATAGAATCATCAATATTGTCACCATGTCATTTGATAAATTGATTTACGTAAATTATATTAAGGATAAGTACTTAATGCTAGCTTTCATTACAAATGACTGACCACGAAACAAGTCTAATTAATTTAATTCGTGTAGCAACACAAATAGCAACTTTCATGTCTATAGACACAGAATAAAAGTTTGGTCAGCACAATCCTTGAAGGAGAAAATATAGTTCCAAGGCTGGGGATTGGTTGCTCGGTATAGAGTTGTCTTTGACGGTATAGTCCACACTTGACTCGATACTGGACTATATCCTAAGCTATGACAAAACCTAGTAAATGTTTCATAGTAAGTCCAAGCTAGTTTAAAGAGCAACAAGCCCCTGAAGTATTTATCAAGTACAAAATATAAGGTATTAACATAACATAAAAGAGTTACAAGATCTCATTAAATTCATTCATTATCATCGACATAAATTATCTCCGCACATATATATTAAATATTATATGAAAATTATCATCACACATATTAAATATGGCACTCTTAATCACGAATAATCATCACACTTGATTTTCATTATACAACATATTACTTAATATATAATGGAATCAATTAAATAAAAATTTATGATATACACACACTAATAAGTATGAAAGTATGAAGGGTCACATCTTGAAAACATTTTTTTTTGTTATTGATCGATTGCATTTAGATGATGAAAGAAAAAGACACTTGATGGAAGCTGAGAAATGAACACATAAATTCGAATTCAATTATAAATGATATTTAATTCCAACAATTCGTGACTGTATTGTGAGTTGGATGTTAGAGAAATAGCTGTGAAAAGGGGAGCGGTCTCATGTCATTGTTGTTGATGAGGTGCTTTCAATTTGTTATTTAAATTTTTCTTTCTAAATCCAAATCAAGATTTTGAAAACATTAATGATATTCTTTCTTTTGTTCTATAAATATAAATGAGAATGGATGATTGAAAAAAATAAAGAGTTTTTTGTGTCGCATTGTAAAGGGTAATATCGGAAGTTTTGATTAACAGTTTATGGTAATAGCTGTTCACTATTAGGTACCGTCTTTTGATTTTTGTATAAATTATTGAATCCACATATGACAATCAACTTGTTTGTATGGAATTATAGTTTAACACAGAACTGCCACCTGTTGGAACAGTCATTTTTGAGCTTCTGGTAATAATAACCATTAATCCCATTCTACCAAACTCCCTTAATGTCATTCTAACTTTCCCTGTAAGATCAATGACTGATTTGTTCTGATAATCATTATGACATATCTATTTTTATGTCTACAAGCCTAATTCCCATTGAACATCATCAGCAGACAATCCAAAACCCACACAAAACCTAAATCCATTCATGTGATTCTACAAATAGCTCAAGGCACCTCAATCGAAGATCAATTGACTGATAAGAGAACCTTCATATAAAGCTTTAGTTCATGTGAAAATTCCTCAACTACATCCATGTTTACTCTACCTTTCTTTGATCTAAATATACCGACAGCTAGCTTGCAACATCCTACAGGCAATTCGATATCATTCTCAATTTTCATACATACTCAATGCTAAATTTATTACAAACTTTTATTCTTCGTTTCACATAGAAATTGATAATTTCTTTTAAACTCTATTTTTAAAGCAGTTGCCTAGGGTTATTTATAAATTTCATTAGCCTCATCATCATAAGCACAATGATACATTCAATAAATTAAACTTTTTCTTAGAACAAATAATTCCATTTCGGCATCGAATTTAATTATATACAAATTGAATTGATATTGACGACTATGTAATTGAATATTCCATTAGAGTTGACTTATTTCTACTCGTCATTGTTACAAAAACGATGAAAAGTTTCTTATTAGCATATTGAGGTTTTATGTAGCAATTGCTGTAGTTATTGGAGAATGTTTGGAATAACGATTTTGAAGTAGCTGATTGGCATTGAAATGATGAATTGAGTAAATTTTGGGTAGAATTTCATAGTGGAATGTCTTTTGAAGAGCTTTACAATAAGCAATGAGTTTACTTAGCCCCGAATGATTAATTTAAGAGAACGGAACCTTAAACAAGTTGAATTTAAGCTAGACCAACTTTATGCTTTATTAACCTCGGCGGTTTAGTGGATTAGACCTTTGATTAGGGAACTAGAGACACCCTATAATGCTTGCTAAGAGTTCAAATCCTAAAAAGCTTTGAAGATTTCTTAAAGACCGAGATAGGATTAAGGCATTCCTAGGAACTTCTATATTGGATGTCAATGTGTATCTGAACCTGAATGACGCTATGTACTAAGAATTTCATGTAGTTTCATTCATTTGGCAATTAATCCTTCAGATGCAACAATTCCTTATCCAAACAGAAGACAGGCAAAAACCTCAAAACATTTCCCAATAGCACAACAAAAAAGCATCTCAATAATTAGGCAAAAAGGTTCAGTCAAAAAACTTGTTGATCTTATTCTGCATTGAAATGTAAAAATGTATTCACAAAAAACTTTCTTAATGAAAAAGGCAAAGCTAGCAAAGCTGATTATGAACGCTATGATCATCACCCCGTCGTCAAATAAAAATTCCATTAATTTTTCTCTCTTTCCCGTCATATCCATCGAAACGTGAATAATTGAAATTCGCACTGAAAAAAAAACACAACTTTTAATTTTGTTCATCAACCGCAGACTCTTTTTTTGCTATTCTCTTCTTCTTGTAGCCATTACGTGGAAAATTAAAGTCAATTTTCTTTCATCATTCAAGCACCGCAATCGATTTTGATGTAAATTTGATCAATCTGTCACTTTCATGCTTATTAATGACAATCTACCTCACCCACACCCCCACCACACCTTTATAACTTATTTATTAATATTATTAATTTTTTTTTGTATGAACTGATTTTAAAATAACACAAAATATACACAAACAAAGCATATTTAATAAAGCATCATGTAAATAATACTTATAATAATCATTTCTGTTCTGTACATAAAACAAAGCTAAAAAAGGAGAACTTTGAGTGTTTTAATTATTTTCTCATTTTTCTTTCACTGATTTTTTTAATTGACTTGTTTGCTGCTGTTTTTTTGTTTCATGCATTTATATGTTGGTTTTATGATTCTACTTCTTTTATAACTAATAATAAACATGCTTGCAAAAAATAAAATATAAAAAATATAAACGTTTAATGAAAATGAATGGGAAATAATAAGCATTGCACAATTATTTGCACTTATGCAAGGCATATACGCTGATGTCATGGGAGTTAATGATGAATGTGATAAAGAAGTTTGAGGTAAAGAGCAACGATGTTGTGAGAAGCGACGTTAATGAGGAGTATGGGGTAATGAATGACAAATTTATGATTCTGGCGTGTTATGCCGTGAAGATTGATGTCTAAGACTAAAGCAGGTTTTAATATTAGCAATTTTAGTTGAAAGAACTTGAGATTTCAAACTTAATGTGGGCGATTCTGTTAGAGAGAGAGTAAGGTCTCTGCAGCTGAAGGGCTAGTCAAGGTATCGTTCATACTCTTTTGTCAGAGTATTGGTTCGATTCCTACCAGAGGCCAATCTGTTAATCATTATATACAGTGCTGTTGATATGACAAAGAATTGTGTCATGTTTGACATTAGAAAGGATACAGAAGAAGGAATCGAGCCAAATAGATTCAATAGATGACACTAAAGCTAGCTAGTAATAGTATTGAAGACCCTACAAGCTACTATGTCAATAGCTAGTTATATTATGAAATATTGTGCGTTAGTTCTTAGCCAATCTTGTTTAAATTTTCATTACCAACAGCCATCACCTTTATCACCCAAAAGCCCCATTAATTAATAATCTCCAATCCACATTCATAAATCGATGGCCATTTCTACCTTCTGTTAAATAATTCCATGAAAATCAATAAACAATAAGACTTGGGGATTATTCGATCAAATTATAGGATACAAAAGCGAGAGAAATTCCAATACACAGGCGGTGATGTTTCTTCACCCACGTCAGAAATTCAAATTGTCTAGAAATAAATTCTCTTTTAAAATTTTTGAGCATCTAAAAGCCACGAGCCAATTTCTTCTAATGTTCATTTTTGTGAGATTCTGAAGAAATAAACATTTCAAAAACAACGATGTAGGAAATTCCTCAACAGCGAATATGCCTTGCAGGATTTGTAAACCTGATTATTATTTTTTGCACAACACACAAGCGTTTAAAATCACATTACACATTTGGATTGGATCTTTGTCAAGAGCTTCTCACTTACGATTAAAATAATTCTCTTAATTATAGTCGTTTTATGGTGTTTTTATTATTATTGTTCATGTTGCTATTTTTCAAGTGGTTTCAGTTGTTTAATCTTTGCTTGCGGAATGAGTGTGTTTAATTTGTCATGATTTGTTTATTGTTTTAATGTCAGTGTTCTATGGATTGACGTTTTATTTGGACATATTTCATTTTGGGGTTGTTCACATCTGACGTCTTTTACTTGACTCATACCTTGCTTCTCCTCTTATCATCCTATATACTGTTAGACCTTACTAGGTATGTCTTTAGAACCTGGACCCCCTCCCTTCAAGTCAGTTTTAATCTACTGCTTTAATCTGATCCTATATCATTGTGAGACTACAAAATCTGATCCAAGATAAAATAATCACAATGTAAACCCTTTAAGCTTAGTACCCAACTTTTCTTAATATCAAACCAACCCTACCCTTTCCAATTAAAATCATCACACGTCATAAGTGAACGACCCTTAAATAATTCAACTGGATAGTCTCGAAAAAAAAAACATGCACATAGTTGATGAAGAGCACATAATACCCCCAAAAATAGAACTGAAATGATTCCCATTTCCGATTTTAGACTATCAACATTTATACCATGACAACCACACGACATCATCATTGAATTACGATGGATATGAAGAAATTCCATTCCAAAGGAATTCAAATATGTATTGGACATTGCAGCCTAGACAAAAAGTTGCATCACAACGATATCAAACGGATAATGCATATCAAGCTAAGGATGACAATATGCAAAATATTGAGAGTCTATACTCAACACCAAATAAGAATAGGAATAATTTAAAGACAACTCCACTGGGATTTGAGTTCTTCTCGCCTGTTACGACAACGAAATTAGAGGAACGAATTGTTGAGGAAGAATATGAAGAAGATGACATTAAAATTATGTCACCTATTGATCCAAGAAATTCGGGTAAATTTTCCACATCCACGCCTCAAAAGCCAATGTCTGCCATAACAATGTCGCCAATGAAAACGTCTCTGACTGAAGATTTACGTGCACGACTTAGAATTAGTTCTGGAATTAGGTCACATGGAAATTCTCCAATTAATTCTGGTCGTTCGACACCAAAAACTGTTTTTGAGCCACAACAAACAGGAAGATCAAGACACAGTTGGTCATCAAATAATGTAGAAGTTCCGTCATCAACATGTTCTGATCGATTAGGAACACCAAAAACAAGTTTAATGGATTTTAAGAAATTACTGCTGAATAAAACGACAGCACGTGCAGGTAAAATCTCAGCCGTTGAAGCATTAAAATTATCAAAAAGTAATGTACAACAGTCCACATCGCCAACGCCAACAACACCCGGTAATAACATGAACAGTAGCATGAACATTCTTGACTTGAGTGGCTCACCTAAAACTTTTGCAACACGTCGCATGATACGACAAGGTCAATTTGGTTCAGGCATTGCCAATTCACCCACGAAACCAGGTAAGCAGAAGAATGCATGGAGAATACAAAATATCAACAGAACCGATGTAATATCAACGGCAATACCAGAAGCGGCAAACGATGAGGAGCAAGAAAGTTCACCGAATGCTAGTCAACAACGTAAACCAATTGAGATTATAAAGTCACCTGAAATTGTTATAGACAACGCACCGGAAGTGGAGCGGGATGTGGAAGAAGAAAAGGTTGGAAGTCTAAAAGAGAATTTATTCATTAAACAAGAAGAAAATAATTTCACCGAGAATGAGATTCGTGAACATAAAAAGTCGGCGCCACATAATTTTAGTATGCAACAGCAACGAGCACAATTTTTATTTGGCAACAGCAATACACCGTCATCTGTTGCAGCACCAAACAATGTCAATAATAATAACAATAAGACAGCAGTTTTTAGGAATGGAGGTCATTATACAGGAATCGTTACACAAAATAATATCAATAGCAAGGATTCAACATTGAAGCCAAATAGCAACATTGCAGCCTCATTGGAAACAGCACTCTGATATGAATATAATAATTTTATAGACTATTTACAAGCGCATTATACAAATAATGGAACAGAAGTACTAAACTGAACACGACCGTGTCTGTGTACCCAACAACAATAGCCCAGCGAATCAATATTGATAAAATACAATTTGTGCTCAATATACATCCATTATATCCAATTTATATATTCATTCTCTCTACATATATCGTGATAATTATTAATAATGGAATTTTCAACCCAAATTTAAAGGTATTTAAACTCTACATAAACTTTAGGGGCAGCAATTTTTCAATTTTCTTGTTTGGGAAATTATTGTGGTGTTGTTATTGCCTACGCTTTAGGCAATTGGCAGTTTATAAAAAATATTTACGAAAAGGAATTAAAATCGAATGAAACAAGTTCAAATAGTTGAACTTAACGAATATTTGATGACTGTAGCGCAATGTTTGAGAGAGTTTTATTGAATATAAGGAAGGGACACAGACATTGTTTCATCAAAAGTAAGAATTTGTACGGCCTAATAGAAATGATGTCTGTGTCTTGAGATTTAAGCATAACGGTGAACTACTCATGAAAGATATTTGCCTTAAATGAGAATTAAATTAGGTTTGAAGCTCCCATTCTGGCTCCATACGTTCAATAATATAAACTTCGTATTATAAAGAATAAAGCTGTCTTAGTGCGGTGTGAGTTCTGTTGGTCACATAGTCCTCACGCTCATTTAGGATTGTTCTTTTTTATCAATCACCATTCTCAGATACTAAGCCTTGAGTGAGTAAATTCTTAAACAAACAGGATTAAAGCTCACCTAGCCAATCACATCGCTTCAAATTATCCTTCCATGGCTATTATATACTAAGATTTTCGAAGGATAAAGAATATCAAGCTATTCTTGAAGATGAAGCTTAAAATAAGAATTTTATAATTGCTTCCGCCTTAATGAATCTTAAGAATTCTTAATAAACTCAACGAAAATGAATATTTTTTCCCTTAAATTCCTCAAATATTAGACATCGTCAAATAAGAATAAGAAATCACCTTAAAAATGTCCATAAAATGACTTTTTAATGAAGAAATTCCCCAACAATCTCCACAAGAAATTGAAATAAAATTTTACGTACTCCCAAAAGCCCTAAACAGTAATCAAAAGTCCACTAAAATGTACTTTAATATGTCCTGTATTACATTATACAGACAGCTATAAGAACTTTAAGTATCGACAGCTATATAACCATAAAATTTTATGGGGCAAATAAAACGCGCTAAAAATGTTATCATGCATGAGAATTGATATTTACATACACAACTATTGCATATGAAGGCTTTTACAACATTCTATTATAATAATAATACAGTTAAGTGCTAAACGAATAAAAAAAGATTTTTGGCTTCTCTTTTTTATCAAAAAAAAAATGATTTTTTTAGTCAATTTTATATAATGCATAGTCACGTAGACTTATTTTAAGGGCAATAATGTTCAAAATTTTATTTTTTTCACCTAATTTATTATTTTGGTTGTTTGTTTTTTTTTAAAATATTTTTTAAGGACTTCCGAATGTGGAAGAATTTTTGTTTGTTTTTATTATTATTTGCGACATATTTATTCGTACAAAATAATCATATCCTGTTTAGGGGTTGTTTGTAAATGATGTTTATTTGGAGATTGAATGTTTCGTACCTTTGAGTCTCGAAAATTCAATGTCTAATAACAACACAGCCAAGCAACTTCCAATTTTTAAAATTCCTTGTATAAATTATTCAAAAACTATCGTCAATTTAATGGTAAGAAAAGTAAAAGATGTACATTATAGGAACCGTTGAAATTGAAAAGGAATATAGTTGTGAAGCAAGTCCACGTTCGTTTCATGACCAAAAAGCAAAGAGAATAAAACTATATTGAGAGTGTCTTGAAAGGAAAGTTTTTACACATTTAATAAGGAAATTTTTTTCTTGTTTCTAGCGTAAAAGAAAAGTTTAATCGATTGTAGGAAGAAGAGAAATGAAATATATGTTAAATGAACGATGATGGAAGAAGAAATGGAAATAAACAATAAAAATGAAAATTATTTAAAGAATGTTGTTTTTTTTTGTGTAAATATTTCCGCTTTTCTTTTCAGGCTTGAGGTCGTTCTTGTGAAAATCAATCAAATTTGATATGCTGTTGAATTATTTTTTAGGTATTGATGTTTCTTTCAGGAGCTTTTAGGTATGAAGATGAGCTTAAAGGTAAGCATTTCGAATCATGAACATCTCAAGTATTTTAAAAATAGATAAACTCATCAATTGTAAAAAACATTGGAAACTTAATGCATAGTAGACTCAACGGTTTTTTAGAATTTAAAAATCATATGAAATTGCATACCCTGTTTTTTCGTTATAAGCTAGTAGCTTAGAAGAATAAAAAAGTGATTTTTTTGGCTCACTAGTAGCTTAGTAACGAGCAGTAGCTTAGTAAAGAAATTGAACTTCAATGAAAATTTTGAATTTTTTAACTTAATTAAAGAAGTTTTGCTATCTTCTCGATTTTATTTCATTGACAATGTCATAAGGCATTGAAACTGATACATAGAAAGTTGAAAAAGATTAATTATACTTTATTTTTGGTAGTACCTTAGTAAGGATTACAAAAAAATTTCAAGTTCAAAAAAACTTTACTAAGCTAGTAGCTTAGTAACGAGTAGTAGCTTATAACGAAAAAACAGGGTAGACTTTTTCGGAAAAATGAAGCTTTGTAAAAAGGAAGTTTCGTAATTTTAAAATTCGTTATTTTAATACGAAACAAATCTTTCTAAATCAAAAAATATCTTGTAAAATTGTTGATTATATTTTTGAACTTTAGTAAATGCTACAAAAGGTTCAACACATTTAAAACTTCGATTGCAAAATTAATAATGATTAATCATAAATTTGATAATGATTTTAAACCTATTAAACATTCAAAAAATATTAAAAAAGTAAGAACATTTCAATTTGGAATTCTAGAAAAATATATCAAGTTCTTCAAAAAATTAAGAAATTTTTTTTCTGTAAATTATATTTAAAAATGAAAAACAGAAAACAGATCTGTTTTTGTCGAAAAACAGCTGTTTTTCTGTTTTCTGTTAACAGGTTCCCCAAACCCTATTTGTCCAGTTTTGCATTCTAGATGGAACTGTAATTAAACATTACATTCTGGATAGTAACTGAATACAACTTGAATACAATTGAGCATTGTGATTATCACCGTAATCCCTCTGCAAAGTTGCAAGACCAAAAGTATATCAATGCAATGTATCTAGCTACAATTTGGTTGGTTTCAATTCACACAAACCTAATTTTCATAACGAGAAAGCGAAGAAGAACACATATCAGACTAGAACTTACTTTTAATAGATCCGGATCATTAAAGTCGGATGGTGGATACTTTAATGATCAGTTCTGGATTCAATAAAGCGGAAATACTAATAAATCTCTTTATTAAATTTATAACATACAGTATAACTGGGTAAAAATTCTATAAAACTTAATATTGTCACAACTTAAATATTGATTCATATTGGATATGAATACACTTTTAAAAGAATAAACACTGGTTTTCTTGGAAGTCATCCACTTATGACGACTAATTCGATACTTGAGCATTAATATAAAAATCTATCAAAATTAGTCAGCATCTCAAAATCTAATCCTAAGCTTCCCTTTCATGCACTTTTATGACAGGATTAAATGCTTCCAATGCCTTCAACACACTAAACATATCAGGTCTAAAGTTTGGATTAAAATCACAGCACTTCTTTCCCAAATAGACCATCAATTGACACAAGTTTAAGCATGCATCGTCATTAGGTGTCGACATGTCAATTATCCTTTTTATATTGTCAATAGATGACTCATCAATCTTTGACATGTGATCATAAAGGAATAGACTTTTTCGTGTTTTGTCGTGTGCTTTAAGACCTGTTGCTAGTTCAAAGAGAACGACACCAAAGCTAAAAACGTCAATTTTTGTAGAGAAGAGATGTGAGTTAAGGAATTCATGTGGTAGGTATGGTCTTGTTCCAAAGACTCTAGATAATTCTTGGTAGTCATCTTGTTTGTGACCTGAGAGGATTTTTGAATTGACATATTGAATTTTTTTGGGATATTTAAGTGACTTACCTTCTCTAGTCAGTCCAAAATCGCCAATTTTTACCTCACAGCATGTATCAAGGAGCAAATTTGCTGGCTTAATATCTCCGTGAATCAATGGCTTAACACTAAATCGATGAAGATACTGGAGACCTCTGGAAAATCATGAAAATTTGATCTCAGATTACTGTAAAATTTAAATTCATTTCTTTCGTGAACGTTCATTAAGATTGACTTAAAATTATGGCAACAGCAGCAAAAGTCTCAGCACAGTCGCTAAATGCACGCTTTCAGATGTTTCGAAGCAAGATGCAGGAGAACTTGTCGAATTTATCAGAAAATGGTGACTATAAAATAATTTATCAAGTATCAAGCTTTACAGCCTATAATAACTTAATCCCACCCCCAATCTTCTAGATAAAGTTCTAGCAATCAAGTGGGTCGACAAGCTCAGTGGATTTTCAACAAAAATGTCAGATTTGGAGCTAAGGAACAACATAATTATGTATCTAGTCTTTCAAAGTACAACAGGCAAGTTGACAGCACCATTTAATGTTCCACCAAACTTCTCGTCACTTGACAAAGTGGGTCCAATTCCAGACATGAGCAAGGAAGACATTTTTCCTGACGACTTAAAACTGCCATTAATAATGCAAAATTCTCCAGATCATGGTGCATTTTTGGTCTCACAGCCTATACCAAAATGCGGTGCCTTCGCTTATATTGCTATTGTCTCACGTCCAGCCAATAAATGAAATTATTTAAAGTACTAACCTTGCTGTTCCTTTTGAGATATTCCATCGTTGAAGCCATGTTAGAGATTCTCTGTAGTTCTTCCTTGACAATCTTTCTTCCAAACTTCCTCCTGCCAAATATTGGTACACAACGAGACATGTTTCATCTTTAATAGCATATCCATAAATTGGTAAAATATTGTCATGTCTACAGTGGTTCAAGTGTCTTAATTCATTCAAACTTTGCATTAAGTAGTCACGAGATGTTCCTGATCTACTTTCTCGGTATTCAAGCTTCTTGACTGCAACTTTTGTAGACAGCCATTCACCTTTATAGACAGTTCCAAAACCACCTTTTCCCAATACATTCTTCTCAGACCAATTATCTGTAGCTTGTGCTAGTTCTTCAATTGGTATTTCTGGAATATTCAGCAAGTCTTTCAAATTATCCCTAAAATCAGCTTTTGGAACTTGATTATTATTATTATTATTTTGTTCATTATTCTTTTGCGTAGCGAATATTTGACTCTGCTGTGCGTTTTCATTTGCATTGTTGATTTTAATTGATGCTTCCTTATTTATCAATCTAGTCAAATGGGGCGGAACTGGCTTGATCCAAACATGATAACGAACATCCACACATTTCTTGATTGTTTCCATTGCTTGATAATCTTGCATGAGCGCTAGCAGCTTGAATAGTTCTGTTACATTATGTCCATGACGTGACCATTTGGCTAGAAGAACTTCTGATGTGGATTTCCTCTTTCTATCTGCTTCTGTTTTCATATCCTGGAAGTTTTAAGATTTTTATCAATTAAGCTATTTATAGAATATTTAGTCATACTTACAAATATTTCAAACTCCGGAAACATCATAAGCTTCGCTAGTTGCATCCATGACTCATTCTGATCGAGAATTGCACATAGTTTTGTTTTTTCAGTCACTGGTAATTTTGTCAGGTCTAAATGGTCTATTGTACTGGAAGTCATTGCTTTATTTGGAATGTACGGTGTTGTCTATATAGTATAGAACCTTGTTAATTACATAGAGCACGTTAATTAATGATTTAAGGCACTTTATTTAATAAAATGAAGTTTAGAATGAATAAAAATATTGAAACGTAAACAAACTTGAAATTTTGTAAACAAACTTCTGAATGAACCCGAAAAATTTGAATTTTCGACAGTTGCAACTTGATTAGTGATTTCAGAAGCTACCTTTAACTTAATTAATATGAAATTTTAGCAGTGAGTTTCAAATTCGCAAAGAACCAGCCACAATCATTTTCAGTCTCTCAGCTATGAAAGGTAAAAAGATAGCATAACGTTGTATTTAAATTCAAATTTTTCCTACCCCCTGCATAATTTTTTGAGGGTCACGCAGCTATCAAGTCACGGGATCAACAACAAATTTGACTTGACTTCAGGAAAAATTGAATTATTTAACTAAATTGAAGGTAATTTAATTGATTCACGATGGCATTACACTCAGCGATCAAAGGAAAACTCTTGTCAGTTATTGGCGATGAGGTAAGCATCTTGAAATAGTGAAAAATTGTGAAATTATAAATTTGCATAAAGAAAATTTTAAAAACATTAATCCTCAATGAATTGCTGCATTTCAGGACACTTGCGTTGGCTTCTTGCTCGGTGGAGTTGGTGAAATAAACAAGAATCGTCATGCAAACTTCATGGTTGTTGATAAAAGTAAAAAAATTTATTTTATTTCAATCTACTGGATCAATAAATAAAATCTTTTAATCCACAGATACAGCTGTAAGCGAAATTGAAGACTGCTTCAAGAGATTCATTAAGCGTGATGATATTGATATCATTCTTATCAATCAGAACTGTGCTGAGTTGATCCGTCACGTAATTGACGCTCATACATCACCAGTTCCTGCTATTCTTGAAATCCCATCAAAAGGTATACTTTTCCTGCATACCTGATGCTGTTATGGTAGTTCTAATGCTGTTGTTTATTTCTAGATCATCCATATGATCCAACCAAGGACTCAATTTTGCGACGAGCCAAGGGAATGTTCTCAGCTGAAGACTTGATGGTCGGAGCTAATCGCGGTTAAAGCATTTGGTGCTTCCTTATTAATATATTGTGCTATTATATATTATATTATTATTGTTCAAGAAATTCATCTTTAACTATCTTCATTCCGATTGTATAAAACCTACATTAGATGTCTTTTGATTTAGTTAAAAATCTTATTTCAAATTTATTATCTTAAATGTGAAGTGTGTGTGTAAACGATAACATGTTGAAATGAAGAATTAAAAAAAAGTATTAAAAACGTAGTCAGAAAGTGTGAATTAATTGCTGGATGTGAAATGTTTGTTTATTGCAGATAATTCAGGATTGATGATATCTCGTGGATCTAATTGTTGGGATTAGAGTGTGAATTAAGGTTTTGATTATTCGTTTTATTGTGAATGACATCAGTCTTTAAAAATTAAACATTTGCAGTGCTAGCAGTTTGAGATAAAATATAACGGTTTTTCTGAATTTTAATTTCAAAACCATTCAACAGCTAATTTTGAACTATAAAATCACCAAGCCCATACAACAGTCCATTCTGAAACAAAAACCATACAAATGTTTACAAATTCAAAAATTTTAAAATTCAACGGTTAAAATTTGAATTTTTGAACTCTTGCAGTTCCGTTCGATTTTTAAATTTTGAATATTACAAGCGCCTGAAATGGAATTAAATCAATTTTTTCAAATTAAAATCAAATTTATTTCATTTTAATCAACATTCTTTTTTTTTATTTCATTTGATAAATTCTGTTATGCTAGTTTTCCATGTAAAATTCTTCACAATCTACGTTTGGGATGCTGAGTAACTTAATGCTATTTACATGAACTTTTTTTCTTTCATTTTTATACTCAATTTATGTCGATAATTTATTTTATTTTATTTGTTAGACAAAAAACATTTCCTTTTTTATTTTCATCATTTTTCTTTCTTATTGTATAATTTCATTATAAGATTATTATTTGTTTTGTGCTTTAACTACATCATTTTTATTCTTTTTTCATCAACAATGGATTATAATTTAATTATTTTTTTTTTATAGTTCGTTTTATCCATTTTATTTTTATTTTATTTTCATGTTAACGTCTTCGTTTAATTTAATTTATTCTATTTCAATAGAAGAACTTACTAAAATCCTTCACTTTTTTTCGTCTAAGGAAATAAAATGATTCTTGAGAGTTCATTTTGAGATAAAAACTTCGTTGTGAATTTACTAAATTAAAATGTTTGATTTGCTCATGAATTCTAAATGTGTGTGGAGAAAGTTTTTGAAGTTTACATTTCTTGAATAATGGAATTGATAACGAGAAAGTTGCAGCTTCATTTGCACTTTGAGTGAATTTTATCAATTTTGTAACTTTTTTGAACTCTTACTTCATTTAATCTTTTCCATTTTCATTAAAAAATATGATTTTTTCATACATAAAATGAGATTAAATTAGAAAGAATTGTAATTTGAAATCTAAAATTTTAACGGTCATTTTATTTTTGAAATTAAAGATCTCCAGCGTGAAGTTGGTTGCAGTTGAAAAACTTTAAATCTTAAAAATCCGTTAAAAATTTAAATCAATTTAACTCAAAACTAATCCATCCTCCAATTTCCTCTGTAAGCAAAAGTCAATTCAACATTGACGTTTAACCACTCAGCATCAGCAAACAGCTTCAGCAAATCAATATAAACTGAGCATCAGCAAACTTTTAATAAACGAAAAATGAAATTTTTAAATTTATTTATCCAAAAACTGCATGTAAAAAAAATCCAATTTGAATGAATTATGGAACTCATTTTTGCCATTAGCAACAGAAGCCTTTTTTTGCAACTTAAGTTTGATGATGAAAGATGAAAGAAAAGTTCATCCACAACTAAGTTTCCAATTTCAATCAAAATGCAAATTTTTGCAAAAAAAACTTTCTCCAATATCTTTATTTGCATCCTCAATCATAATTTATGGAAGTAATAAACGAAGTAACAGAAGGGCAAAAAAATATAAAATTTGTTTGAGTCTGGAATTTTTAATTAAAAACCTTTTTTTAAATATTATTTTCAAAATTTATATTCCGTCTCGTACAAAAAATAGAGAAATGACGAGGTTTATGAGGAAAGCAGGAATGAGGTTTTGAGCTGTTACAAATATGATAAAAAATTAAAACGAGCTCATGCAGTGAACTTTATACATTTATGTATGTGCATTCATAGAAAAATTAAATTAAGTCTTTGTGATGTTGATTTGAGGGACTTGGGCGCATTTTTGAGCCAGCGATCAGCATTTGATTTAATACTAACGGTTTGGATTTTTGAATTTTTAACGGTTTTTTTTATTTTTGAATTTTTAACGTATTTTGAAAATTTGAATTTTTCAATTTTTGAAAATTTGAATTTTTAACGTATTTTGAAAATTTGAATTTTTCAATTTTTGAAAATTTGAATTTTTAACGTATTTTGAAAATTTGAATTTTTTAACGTTTTCTGAGCCGACTTTGTAAAGTGTATCAGAAAGCTTCCTTACTCGCAAAAATTCAATCAGTTCAATGCCTCAGTTCCTTTCCTCGTACGACATTTTTAATAATATTTGAAAAATTAATTGCATTCCATTCTTCATCTCAACTCACATCCATACATTTTAATTGGTTTTTTTGGTTTGTTTCATTCATAAAACTTTAACTTACATCGTACTTTATGTGTATAAATATTTCATCAGCTAGTTTTTCTCATTTTGCGCATCAAATTATCTCCCTTTTAATAACATTATACCATAATTATCATTTTTTACATCAATGAGCTTTAATGCTCATCGTTATAAATTGTTAACTTTTCGTTTTTTACTTTCTTTTTTAACAAATATTTTTTATATCCGAGCTAGATTACATCCGTTTGATGTGGACGGTGTGCGGTGCTTTTGAGAATTTTGTTTTGCATGGAAAATCTGATTAAATTAATTGAGGGGATGTGATTTACTGAGCTTTTGGGGATTATGCTTTGTGATCTGGATTAAAAACTGATTTATTATTAAAAGTTTGCGATTTATTTTAAATAAGTTCAAGAAATAAACCCACAAAAACAATTTTATCGTAAAATAAGCATGTTATGCTGTAATGTCCTAAACTTAATTGGCATTAATTGATGCTTGCCACTTTTTTCTACTAATTTGAGAGTTTAAAACTTAATTTGCATCCAAATTGAGTTCAAAATTTGAAAAACTAAACTCAAGGTGGAGAAAAAACAAAATGGCGGCACATGTTCACAAAATTTTGAATTCTTTAAAAACAGTAAACTTATTATTGACCTTTTTTTAAAAAATATTATTCATTTTAATGACCAAGTCTGATATTAAGAATCTAAGAACCCTTCAGCTCCCCCAAAAGCACCCCACACCACCTCACAGTCATAAAACATCGCTCGGATTCTTTATTTTATTTCTCGTTTTTCTGCAGCATGAGCTTTTTAATCTTAAACCGAGGATAAAAATTTTCTACAATTTCTCATTTCTTCTTTGCAGCTCGTGAGGAATGACAAGAGCAGAAATGCAGAGCAGACACGATATCACGAGGAGAAATCTGAACGATAATTAATCATGATTTCATCCTTTCCTTTCTAGTCTTGTGAGCACAGCGAGCACTTTCTTCATGACACCTTGCAATTTATTTACAGCATTTTGTGTCCTCATTTTATTTTTAGAATTTTTTTTTGCGTGGGTTTGGGTTGTAAACTGCTTAATCGTTAAATAAATACAAAAGTTTTTAGTCGTGCCTTGACGTCCTCTGAGTGATTATATTGGAATTTTGCGTAAAAGTAAATAAAATTAAATTGAAAGTTAAATAAAATTCAATTCAATTTGCTGAAGCTTTCTTGCTTTCTATTTGTCTTTTCTGTTTCTATAGCAAATCTTTGAACAATTTTTGTTAAAAAGTTCCGCTTAAGTCATGCTGAAAATTGAGTTTATTTTAGTGTCATAATGGATTGAAGTTTCGAGGAAATTTAAGATTAGTGGGTGGGGGAAATTGATTCATTGGAAGGTTGGCTGAATGAAGGAAGTTCTTTGGGCAGTAAGAATTGTAACTTAAATTAGTACTGACACTTCCTTTTGTGAGTTGATTGTGAAAGTTTTAAACAATTGGTAAATTTTAACGGTTTTGAAGGATTTGAAATTTAACGGTTTTGTAGGATTTATAGTTTAACAGCTTTGTAAGATTTGAAATTTAACGGTTTTGTAAAATTTGAAATTTAACGGTTTTGTAAGATTTGAAATTTAACGGTTTTGTGAGATTTGAAATTTAACGGATTTGTAAGTTTTTTTGAAATTAAACGGTTTTGTAGGATTTGAAATTTAATGGTTTTGTAGGATTTGAAATTTAACAGTTTTGTAAGTTTTGAAATTAAACGGTTTTATTGGTTTTGAAATTTTGATGGCTCTTTAAGATTTGAATGTTTACCGATTTTGTAAAATTCAAATTTTTACATTCAAAGACGTTTCTTACCAAAATAATTTGAATTTGAAATGACAGTTACATTTAAATTTTGAACTTTTGATGAAAACCTTGAAATTTTTGTATCTATTAAACGATTTAACATAATTTTTCATAAATGCGCAACTTACCCACAAGACCAGTCATCTCATTAGTCATCCTCACAAGCTACATCCCATATAAATTTTTATCAATGTTCCTCTCACTTTTCCCTTAATGTTATCTCTAAAAGAGAATGATGACCATAAAATGAGATCATTCTCGTCTGCTTTATATGAATTGATGATAACAAAACATATCCTTTAATTTAATGGTACAAAAAACAGAGAGGATAATGCGTAGAAAAATTCTTTTAAAATTCATCGTCATCACTTGAAAAATCTTTAAAATTTCATTAATGGCAGTTTCTGTCGCGAATTTTTTTATTATTTTATGTCTTTAAAGGAGATTGGAAAATTTTACAGACTTATACAAAAGGTAATAATAATATAATTGAACCAAAAAAATCCTTAAGTTCCATAAAAAAAAGGAGAATTGCGAACAACGATAGTGTGCCATTGCCTTAATTAGTTGTATAAAATTTTATTTAATATTAACAAACGTCTACATTCATATGTAATATATTAAATTCACAGTATACGAGATAAAGTCATTTGACAAAAAAAGAAAGAAGCATGAGATGGGATGTGTCTTATGGGAAATGAAATTGAAATAAATTTATACAATTTTTTAAATGATACAGGAAGAAAATCATGCTTTTTTTATTCCACATAAAAAAAGAGAACTTTCGAACCTTAAAATTATTTTTTTTTCTCCGCTTTTTTTATTTTATTTACTTAAATGATACTGTGTATTTTTGTTATTATAACGCAAGAGGCACTCATCATTAAAATTGCACATAAAACCGTTAATAATAAAATGTTCATGATGCTGTTGTTGCTTCTTGTTGTTCCTGTTAACTCAAATTGTTATTGTGGACACCTAAACGTAGTACATAAATGGAAATGATATGTTATTAAATGCAGACTAAAGTTATTTGTTTGGGGAATATTTGAGAGCTGATGTTGATGTTTAGCGCGTTTTTCCATGGAAATTTGGGTTACTAGGGTTTGGAACTAGCCAATATTAACAGGTTCAATTGAGTTTTAGAGCTCCTGGGTTGTATACTAAGGAGGTTTTGAATAATACACGATATGGCTGTAGTTAGCCACTTTTTGAGGAATATATCAAAGGGTGGGTCTCAAAAAACCCCTGGCAGATTGAAATCTAAGCAGGGTTGTCTCTTTGGCTTGACTTTATCTAGCTTGACCTCCCTCGATACACCTTAAACAGAGGAGCCGACCCCCTGAACCATACCAAACCATATTAGATCCCAATGTTAGCAAAGAGAACAGAGTCCGTTACAAACAAAAAAAATTCAAAATTTTCGCGCGGTATTTTTTTAAAATTTCAAAATAAGAAAGTCTGTTACTTTTTATTTTTTTTTAAACTAGGTGTTTTTTAAAGCATAAACATTTAAGGAATGCAATTTCATCACAGTGATTACAAATTACAAATTACTCGAAAAATAATAATTCACAACGATTTTTTTTAAAAATAAGAACTTCGAAGATTCGATTTTCGAAAAATAAGAACCTCGAAAATTCGAAGTTCGAATAATAAGAACTCAAAAATTTCTGTTTGCTAGCATTGGATTAGATCTACAGTTTATTGCAAAAAAATGAAACACTTGTTTAGAGACGGTAAGCAGAAAACACCAAGTAAGCACCTAGTGCTCCTTGGCAATCGTCTGTTCGTAAAGAAGCGGCTCAGCAGGGCTATCAACTCAGTGAGCTGACGGCATTAGCTAGCAATCGTTTTAAATTCAAAAGTTTCGTAAACGCCCTACACTTCATAGTGGAGTAAAAGGACATCATCGTCATCAAGGGGATAACAACTACACATAAAAACACTTCAGTTGAAATTGTGGAATTTTTCACACTTAGTTGTTGTCCCCCTGAAGCTCGTGTACTCATTGCATCAGTTGTTTAACACGCAAAGCATGAGCCTCCTTACTTTCTCAAACTTCCAACCTAATTTCGATGAAAAACGCCCTAAAAATCAATTATTTCCATCTCTATCTCCCTCGCATCCCTGTTTTTGTGTGCTACACTCATCCGAGCTTTGGGAATTTTTAGTGGAAAGCTTTTATAATGAAACTTGTAAAAAGCATTCATTTTATTTTATTATTATTTTTTTGTGTATGCTTTATATTTTTTTTTCTGCATCTCTAGCGTAATTTATAATCCACTAGTATCATACCTTACTACAGTCGATGTTGCATAATCAGCAAACTTTTTGTCTATTGGAATACGATCATCATAAAGGGTTGGAGCCTGTAAAAGAGAGAGAAAAATGTTTTTTAAATAAAAAAGTTCACATGGGATGTATAAAAATTCAAGGGGGTTACAACTTGATGGGGAAAGTTTTTATTAATTAAGAAATTTTATTAAAATTTTCCATAACTTTTATTTGATTTTCCATCAAAATTTTGTCGGAAAATTCCCCATCAGGTTGTTACCCCCCTCAAAATATTGTGCAATCGAGCTACATACTTGTAAAATAATTCCAGCTGTGCCTGCCAATACGGCAAGTGTAAATATCCATAAGAATAATCGATCCAATACCATCGCGACATACTTCCAATCCTCTTTAACCTTCACCGAGTCCTCGAGCATTCTCGTATGTTCAGCAATAAAACGAACACAAAAACATGAACGATGCAACTCAGTCGGACAGTGAAGATGTGAATAGCCTGGATTTTTCATAATTGGACTCTTCACTCGATCCTGCTGTGTTACGGGCGGTGGATCGACATCTAATGTTGACATTGACATCGTCACTTCCTCAGATTCCATTGAAATTGGCCCGTGAATTTGACAACTACCTCCGAATGGTCCCGATGTCGTTAGACTGCAAAAGGATATTTTTTTGGGGGTTATGGATGAGAGAACATTTTGTTTTTGGTTTCGGTCATTAAGTGACATTGGGATACAAAGTGACAAAAAAGAAAGAAAAGAAGTGAAAAAATTTGTCAAATCACAAAAAAAAAACGATGCAGAACGTCAACATTGATATAACATTGATATGCATAAGGAACATAGAACAGTATCAAGGAACCAAAATGATATATATGAGACAATTCATTGCATTATTTTATTGCTATAATATTAAAGCATTATCATGACGATATTTGCATACGAATTTATTTATGTATGTGATGGAATTTAACATGACATCGTCACGTTTCGTACAATACAAATAATATATCACTGAATACGCACAATTTTTTTATTTTACATGAAATGCTCAGTGGTGAAGTTAGGGAATTATTAAGAAAGAGATGGGTTCAGAATTTACATTTTGAACCTGTTTTTAGTGAGCTTCGTTCATGAATGATGTCAAATATTTTAAGAAATGAAGTTTCTGGAGGGTTTAGGGGATTTAGGAGGATTTGAGGGGTCTAAGGGATTAAGAAAGGGTGTCTAGGGGTTCTAGAGCTATAAAGCTTAATGATTTATCAAAAAAATCCAAGATTGATATTTGAATAGTTGAGAACGGTCATATTAAGACCTTAGTCTAACAAGAAAGGGGCGACCAAGGCTTAAATGTTGTTTTAAGCTCCTATACAAGTGGCCCTCAAATTTTTTTATTTCACAGATGGTGTCAAAAAGCATTGCTACACAACTACAAGCATCCCCTAACCCCACTCCTGACTCTCACTCACATTCTAGGGAATAAAATTCCTCATTATCAGCTTTCATATTTTTTTGTGATTTTTATTTTTTAAGGGCTGAGCATAAATCATGGGTAATGACTAATGATACATCACGTGACTCTTTTCATATTAATTTCCTTTGGGTTTAAAGTTGATTGAAATATTTGCAAGAGTGCTGTGGCACAGATTTAGACATTTTTTTGTCATGAAAAATTTAAAGCTGTTGTTGGCATGGAGCTTTAGTATTTTGTAGGCATTAAATATTTAAATATTTTTTTATAAATTCTCGATATGTGTTGAAGCTATTTTGAGGCAGCAATGACTGTTTTTGAAGTATTTTTGATAATTCTGTGACAACGTCCTTCTCACTTTCTAGCATTAAAGACATTGAGGTTACCAGAGCAACAAACTATTCCCTTATCAATGCTAAACATCATAGATCGGTGATGGTCAACCTTTTTTGTGTCACGGTACACCTTGATGGGAAGGCATGACAGAATTTTTATCGTGGCACAAGGATTAGCCATCACTGTCATAGAGTCGTAAAAGAACTTCGACAGCACTTTTCTGATTCAGTCACGGTATAAAATGAGATTTTTTTGCTGTGTCTGCCTCAAGAATCAGACCAAATATTGATTTTGAAACCCTTAAATCTCTTTAAGCACCAAAATCCAACGAAGATGCCATACCAGCAAATGCACTGTACAATTTAAATAAATTTCAATCAACTTCAAATTCCATCATCATCCAATGCTAAATTCCTTTTATCTCATTGCTCACGACTGACTCAAGACAATGAATTATCTCAAAAATTCTTTCACAAAATTCCATTTCTTCTTATCTACACAAAAGCACTATGGTGGGGGTGTTGAATATAAAATCATAAAAAATTTCCTTCGTTTTTTCATTGAGGAAACCAAAATAAAGATTTAATTTCACAAAAACCAAAATAGGAACCAAAATAAAATCAAAAATTTCAAATCCAAATCCTAATTCAAAATCAAAAAGAATAAAAATTATAGTCAAATGGAACTAAATACAACAAACAGCAAAACAACGACAAAAATATTTCATTTCTAATTGGTTTTTTTTGTTAATATTATTTAATTTGACATTTATTCATTATGTATGAGTTTATGTGACTTATGAACTACACAGATTGTATTATTTTTTGGATTTGTATTTTTTGGGAAACGAACATTTATGCAAAGAGACATTGAGATTGGATTAGAATTAGAAAGGCTCGATCGTTTGGGAAAATTTGTAGTTTTTGGTCGAAATTGAGTTAAATTTTAGCATTAGTATACAAGCTTTAGATGTTTTGTAGTGCAACAAAGCTAAGAGGATAGATTTAAAAATTCTCCATCTCAAAACTTAGAACTAAAAGTTTAAGCAGGATCTTAATTACTCATTTGATGATATTACTGTTTAAAGAAGCTAGTAAGGTCGATTTTCAAGAGATAAATTGCTCAATATATTCACTATAGTAAAGCCAAAACCTTATTTTAAGTCAATCACCGGGTTGATCATACTATGGACTATCGAATACTATAGAACAGCGTCTTCCAAAGGTTTTTGGTAGGCGACACATTTTGATGGTAAGCCATGAGCAAAACCAAGTGTGTTGCGACACATAGTTCGGAATTCACTGCTCTAGGATATACAAAGCTATCGATCCCAGTAAAATTATACAGAAAAAGCAGAAATCTTAAATTTTCTATAGTTGAGATTCGAACCCATGATCGCTATAATATCAAACTAGTTAAATACCGAAGTATGAAGCCTCTCGGCCACAAAGCGACTTCAACTCAATGCTAAAATTTAACCAATCCCAAAACACATTTTCCACAAAGACCACGACGACAACAAACATTTCAAACATCAAAGTTAAAAATGAGAAAATGGACATAGGTTTGAGGGAAGTTACTGAGGGATGTAAACAATAGAAATCTTGCATCACATTATATGCACAATGCTCATCATGGCAATTATGTTCAATTATCTTAATAATTAATTATTACACACACATTTACGTCAATAGGAAAGGATTTTAAGCAATACCTGATCGGTGACATATCTTCTTTCGATGGTGTTCTACTATAGTGTGATACATGATTAAGATTTGATGACGAGTTCGTATAGAATGGATAGAAACTTGATAGCAGTTTTCTGAGATTTTTTTAATGATGATGCGATTTTTTGATGATTTTTCATTTTTTTTTTGTTTAAGATTTTTTCATTTTAGATTTATTTGTTTGTTTCATTTTTTTAAAGTTAATTTAGTTTCAAAAATAGAATAAAAATTGATATTTCAAAAACAAATTTTTTTAGTACGTGCCCCGTCATACAAAAAAAAAAAGGTGAAAGAAGAAAAAAGGTAGAGAAAAAAATTAATTTCAGTGTTTTTTTTTTCGTGAAATGACAGGAAATGCTGTAAAATGTCGAGTGTAAAAATGCGGAGAGCGCTAAAAAGAGACCCTGAAGATAGGAAAAATAAAAACTCATCGCAATTGATGTTGATGATGCGAATGAAATTTCTTTTTTAAAAAATGGAAAGGAAATGAGCGTGTCTTAATGTCCAGATTAGCTGTAATATTTTCCGCCTTTTCAATGACATGGAAAATATATAATAGGTGGGAGGTGGTGCTGATGCTTGGTTGGAATTTCAAATTAATTCACTTAATCGTTAACACATAGTGATGAATTATTAAGGTTAAAATGTGATTTTTGGATCTTTCATCTTTGGTACCTTGTCATGCGAAACACACTAGTTTGTCACAAGCAACTTGACACACATGCGACACACTAGTATGAGACATGCAACACACAAGTCTATGTCACATGACATAAAAGCCTATGCATACTAGTCTGTGTCACGCGACACATTACTCTTTGTCATGTGACACACCAGTCTGTTCCATTCTTGTGTGTCACACAAGTCTATTGCATATGAAATAATAGTTTATGTCACACGACACACTATTCAACGTCACAAGACACATGTGACACCCCAAATTTGGCCTATTAGTGTTACGCAACATCAAAATTACCCCAACCCACCTAGAGGTCATTCACAAAAAAATAATTCATCGATAAAGCAAACGAGACACGAATTTAAATGCTTTTAAATCTCCCATTTCCAAAACATATCCACTAGGAAATTCGATTTTCTACAAAATTCCGCACATCCCATAAACTCCAATCAATAAGCTTTGCCTAAAACACATTTTCAACAAATGTACATTTGGATTTAACAATTTAGATACAAATTATGCCTTTTATATCAGATTCGATCACTGCTATCCGCAATATAGGCAGTCGACCCTCTCGTTTCTTTTCTAAACAGGTGCCTGTCTTTGAGGGTTGGATGATTTCGCAATTTCTGCGAACGCCGTGAAATAAAACAACTAAGAAATATATAGTTTAATTCACTTTTTTTTATTTCTGGTGTTTGCGTGAGTTCACAAAATAAATGCTTTCACATCCAACTCGTGTGACGTTTGAAGTAAAAAAGGGTTAAGCAAATGTTAGGAGGGGTGTGAAAGCTTAGGTAAATCCTCGTAGGGTTCAAAAGTTTATTAGGGCATGTGAATAAATGGCTTAAAATATATAATACCAAGAAGTCTGTCATTTATAGCAAATGACATACTCGCCCGGGAAAGAAGTTCATAAACTTCTTATTTAATTCATTTTATTGGGTTATTCTGCTATATCTGCTTCCAGATCGATGTGAAGTACGTTATCATCAGAATCAGTATCAATTTCAGTTGTTGCTTTCGATGATTCACCCTGTTCAGCAATTGTCGCGTCAATTGATTTCTCATTCTCAATAGCAGGTGTCTCATTTACTTCAGTTCCATTAGCATCTTCCCTCGGATTAACTAATATCTTGTGATTGTTGAGAAATGCCTTACTAGACTCAGCTGTATTCTTTCCTGGATAGACTTTGTGGTACTTTTCATATAAATTCTCAATCAATTTCTTGTTGTCGACTCGCTTATCACTGTTCAAAAATCCAGGCCACTCATAAGTAGTTATCAATTGATTAAGTGCTTCAGCTTCTTGATTCCATTGAACTATTCCACTCTCCAGAAAATGAGCATCTTCCATGGCGACTAGCATTGGAATATTTTCGCTGAGTGTGGCACGAATTGGCTTCTGTTGAATTATGTGTTCAATGAATCCACCTTCACCACCTACTTGACGTGCATCTGCTTGACGTAAGAATGTAATAAATCCTTGTGGCAATGTCCAATCTCTCTTTGCATCATAATTAAGTCTCATGCCTGTCACGACACCTTTTCTCTCAAAATATCTCACTAATTCAAGTAAGTAGTAGATTGGCGCTTCCTGTTTACGTTCTAGACTTTTCAATATGACAGTGATTGGAACACCCTGGAATGAAGTACTAAAGTCTTTGTCGATGAATGTTGCTCTGCCAACTTTCATTGAAACTTCAATAGGAATGATGGTGTTGTTGTTGATATTCAGCTTAATACTTTCCAAATATTGAGCACTCTGTTTAAAAGGAAAATATATGAAAACTGTCTCGCCCAATCTCTTTGCTTTGTAGTCAGCTACTCTCATAATGCCAATAGCATCCTTAACGTATGGCGTAATTTCCAATAACACTTGACTAATTGTGTATGTCTCAGGAACTGGTGCGATTTGAACGACGGTAAAAAAATTTTCTTGAGTTCTTTGCGATTGCTCAGCACGATCATTAAGTTCAGCCTTTTCAGCGTTTCGCTTGCCTAATTTATAATTCATGATGGTTACTGCTCTATCTGAAATGATTAGAAAAGAATAAAAATTACGGGTATACCATGCGTATAATAAAAGAACTGATGCGTTCAGAGATATAGAGAATTTTGTATTAATTCTAATAATTAGCATATCTAGTCATGCGAAGAGTATTTGTAAATTAAGTTTGGCGAGTCTGTTGACACTTCGCCGTTGTCTTATTGTCCCATCAGGCATAAGTATATCCGCTACTCTCCCTCTCGAGTCTTTTGATTTATAAATTTTGATGACCTTAGCTCTTTCCCATGCTTTTCGTGTCTTATTTGGATCCACAAGCAAAACCAAGTCATTGACTTTCATTGGTGGCTTATCTTTAAACCATCTGTCTCGTTTTGTTAAGACAGGCAAGTAATAAGCAACGAATCTGCGAGAAATGTCTTCAGCGAGAATTCGTCCCTTTCTATATTGATTACGATCATCCAAAGGATCATGCGGTAACTTCTTCTCGAATATTGAAGGTAATAGCGGCCAACCAGATCTGTTCTTGGCTAAATGGTGAGGAGTCAACACTTCTTCATCCTCACAGCTTAATGGATTATGTGTAAGTGGTCTACAATTGATTCTGTGAGCAGCTTCTTGCAATGCGATGTTTAATTCCGTCTTTGAAACTTTCCGTTTCTCAATTGATGACGCGATTGCTCTTTTGACTTCTTTAATAAGTCTTTCGTAAAAACCTCCAAACCAAGGTGACTGTACAGGAATAAACTTCCAAGAGCAAAACTTATCAGCCTGATCCTTGACCCAGTTGTTTTTAGCTTGTTGTAGACATTTGGATATCTCTTCCTTATCGTGATTGATGACTCTAGCAGCTCCAGTGAAGTTTGTGCCATTGTCCGAGATGAATCTACTGACAGGACCGTGAGCTGACCATAATAGCATGATTGCTTCCAGTACGCTTGATGTATCAAGCTTATCCAATAAATGTAGATGTACGAATCTCGACATGGTACAAGTAAAAATCAATATCCACACCTTCTTCTCTCTGCCGTAGTTGTACACTTTCAATGGACCAGCACAATCCAGTCCAGTAACTTCAAATGGCTTCAATGATGGATTTACTCTGCAATCAGGCAGTGCTGCCATTTTAGGAGGTTCTGTATTAGCAGACTTGACACGACAGTAATTGCACATACTTTTCGTTTTCTGCAATGCAGCACGCAGTTGGGGCATCCACATAACTGATCGAAATTCTGCTACTTGACTCTCTATACAAACATGTTTGTATTTGTAGTGGTAATGACGAAGTAAAACCTCACTCAAAAGGTTTTTCCTGGGGACGACGGGTGCATATTTTTGAGCATAAACTTCTTTTGACAGATCCACCCTTGAGCTGATTCTCATTACATCGTCTTGGTCTAGAAACACGTTTAATTTGAGAAGTTCAATATCTCTTACTTGCTTTCCTTCCTTAAGTCTATTGTAATCCACTGAAAAAGACTCATGTTGCATTCGTCGAATGATGAATAGAAGTCCACGTTCGTAATCCATTGATGTAGGATATTCTATATCCAACTTGCTATATAATTGATTCCATGCTTCTTTGTCATTCCACCTTTTTGCTTTCACTAATGGAATCATCATCTCAAAAAAAATTTTCAATGATCTCGAAACTGCTCTAAGTAATTTAGTCCAATTAGCAGTAATGGATGCAGGAAACAAATCAATAAAATAGTCTGAAGCTAATGCACAATCAATATTCGGTAGCCTAAACGGCAATGGAATTATGTTGTTTTCCGTGACGACATTTATATTCATAGCTGGGCAATCATAGTTGATTTTTTGAATCGGCCAGTATTCTCTTGTTAATTTGAGGAATCTAGGTCCTTGAAACCATATAGAATTTGAGTCTCCAAAATCAAAAGGTCTGATTTTAGTGGCTATATCAGCGACGTTATTCTTAGTGTCCACATATCTCCAATCATTTGGAGAAGATAATTCCATTATATCAGTAATGGGTGAAATGGCATATTTGGGTAGCACTTGATTCGGATTTTTGATCCATCGAAGGGCAATTTCGCTATCAGACCACATAAAGGACTCGAAATTTATCCCCTCATGCAATTTAACTATGCTGTTTTTCAACCTGGCAGCTAAAGCACATGACAACAATTCAAGTCGAGGGATTTCTGTAACTTCTAGCTTAGTTTTCATCTTTATAGGAGCAACTTTCGATTTTGCCATGACAAAACTGATATATCTATAGGAATTAATTGTAGCAACGATATACGATGACGCTGCAAAGGCTTCTTTTCCAGCATCACAGAACGTATGAAGTTCTAATGAATTCACATCTCCTAAATTTGTATCTTTAAAACGTAGACGAGGAATTCGTAACTTTGTGACTTGCTCTAAATCTCGTAACCAGC